ACCTCCCGGTCCCGGGCGCTCCCCCTCTCCCCCCATTCGATTTCCTTTCCCACCCCCTGTCCACTCCTCTCTCTCATCCCCTTTCCCCGCCCGCTTCCCCATTTTTCATTTCCTTGGTCTTCTTCCTCTTCTCTGCATCCACCTCCCCCCCCTCTCTCTCTCTCTCTCTCTCGTGTTTTTTTTCATCGCTTATCGACAAGGCTGTGTGTCTCTGTGAGGTATATCAATATTATTATGGAAGGTCGCTTTCGCAACGACAGAGAGGAATGGGGAGGGAGAGAGAGAGAGAGAGAGAGAGAGAGAGAGAGAGAGAGAGAGAGAGAGAGAGACAGACAGAGCGAACGGAGAAAGAGCGTTTATTTGATCGTCGTGCTACAACCCTAACCCCGCGTCCTCCACTCCTTCCAAATAAAGATAAAAAGTGATCGAGAGAGGTGTCTTTTTCTGGACCGGTCTTGTTTATTTGTTTGTGATTACCCGTGGCGCCCTGGGCCGCACGCGTATGGCAGGGGATATCCGCGAGGCACGGCGCTGAGGGAAAAATAACTCCTGCGCTGCACAAGGCCGTCCGTTTACACTGTAAAACGAAGAGTGACCTTTCTTTCCCGAATAGAGCGACGTATAAGCGTCATCGCTCTGTTAGAGCGATTTTTGCGAAATGACTGCACATGAGTCTTCTTTGTAACAGAAAATGTCGCAGAAACGACCCTAAACGAGCGACGTTTGCGAAAATGACTCAAAATTAGTCTTATTCGTAACCAAAACTGTCGCGAAAAGTTATTGCAAACGAGCGATGTAATTAATATCGCTTTCCCAAGAGTCGTCAAATTGGCTTCACTGAAATCGCTCTCCGGGGAGCGAAAAAGGTCACTCCTTTACTTGTAGTGTTGAGCGACATACTTTTCTTTTGCAACGCAGACTGACTGTCGTTTATTTCTGACCTCGGGGTGTGTGGCAGGTACTAGCGTGGAAGGTAAATTTACCTCGTGATACTGGGGGAAAACCTGAGCGTCACATTACTTTGGATCTAGGAACCGACCAAAATAAAAAAGGCATCTCACAG